TCAAACCGTTGTTTTCTTGAATAGCTTTGAAGAGAGCTTTGCGTTACCTGTCGCAAACAAGGTGAAGTAGTGGCCACGATCTAAATATAGCATCAACTTAAGCTCACAGTTTCCCTGGTGACTAAAATACACATTGATGCTGCAGTGTGCTGGTAAAACTACAGACTGCCCTCAAAAAGATCCAAAACAATCCTCATATTTGTCATTTTGCTCGGGGAAACATGTCATGAGTTATTATTCCCACAAATTGACCTACAATAACCCGTGGAGCAGATTCTGAGCCGGCTTGTGTCCTGCTTGTTTTTGAATCACTGAAAATGTAAAAAAGAAGCGCACACAAAAGTGTTTCCATTCCGAGTGACCCACCAGAACCACGTAACCATCACAAAGCCCACACGGAGTATCCGGGGGGGAAAATAACACAGCGCGCGGGGGTCCGTCCCGCCGTTCAAAAACACAAAACACACAAAACTGTGTGCGTACACGCATCAAAACCTGATGCTGCTGCTCTCAACGGCGCAGAAACACACGTCATAAAAGTTCATTCCAAGCAATTTCATTGACTGCATTCGCGGCAGCTACCTGTTTATTAATAATAACTAGGCAGAAATTAATGTGCGTCTCCAGTCAGAATAAATATCCACGTGTGTGGATGCAGGCGGTGGCGTCATTAAATGATTCATACTTACGAGCCCCTCAATTATTCAGAGGGCGGGAATAATTAACACGGCATCTGGAGCACAAGGAGTCCGTTAAAACGTGGGTCTTTCTCGCTCCTCAACCAATTGGAAGGGGATTTAAAAGTATTTCCATTTCCAGGCATTAAAATGAGTGCATGGAGCTCAGGTGTTTTCTACACAGTAAATGGCTGCCGACAAGCAGGGGAAAGAAAGCGGCATCTTGGCCGCGTCTACTGGTTCATAAACAGATGTAATTGTTTTGTCTCCATCAAAATAAATCTAGCTGGTGTATAAAAATTAAATCCAATGCTGGGCCACAATGACTGCCGAGTAGGGAAACACTCCTCGTTTTGTCAGAATTAAACCATCATTTCACTTCTTTCAGCCATTTCAGTATTTACGGATTACTGATGAAAATACTTTTGCCATTTACTTTTGTTACTTTTTTTTTTTTTCACCCTTTGAATATTTTGTCATACCAGTTGCCTAAAAGGCTAAAATGCTTAGAAACTAGTATCTTCACGAAGATTTATGCGGAAGTCAATTGATAAAAAATGCTGGAAAATCTTCATCCTTGATTTATATGAATTTGTAGAGCCAAACTCCACAATATGTTGTCATTTTGGACAAAACTGACTTGAGTGCATCACTCCGGACTGCCAGATTATGATGAGCGCATTTTAAAGAATGATTGATAATGAAAACACTAGTCCAAACCTAGGATCTAGTTCTGAAGGTTTGAATGAATTCCCTCTGGTGAATTAAACGTGAAGTTCAGCTGTGATTCTCTGGTAAACTTTCCGTGGAATCCAATAGATGTTTGAGACCAAGTTGTTAAATTCAAGACCGTTGCAGAATATTTAAGGGCCAACAACCCCCCCCCCACGGTCCCCCCACGTCCAGTACGTAGGGTCCTTTTAGTTTTCTATTCCGCGGCAGTTTGTCCGTCCGTGTCCAGCGGTCTACCCCCGGATCCTGCTCAAATTGGATTTGAAGCCATTAGAGCCCCAACTGGAAGCATATGTTTTAAAGCTGCGGAGCATTTCATTTCACCAGACGACAAAAGAAAAATAAACCAGACACAAACACGGCTGGACGGAGTCGTTCGCTTACAAAACGCAGAGGGACAAGGAAAAGCCCACGTCGACATGTGTGCGTTTGTCAGTCGGAGAGTGTGCATGTTCTCATACGGGCTTCAGAGAGCAAAAGGTGCTGCTGTGCTCCTCCACGGAAGGATAAATATTCCGTCTGGATCGGGAAGGGGGGGGACATAAGAGCAGGGATTGTATTTCAAATGGCGGGAAACCCCCTCACTCAAGCGCCTTTTCGCTCGCTCTCTCATTTTTGCTGTCAAGAAAAAGCAACAACTTTATTTTGCTCCAAATACAGTGGATGCAGTGAGCGAGAAGCCCGGATCGCTATCTCCCAAATCTAAACAAGCCTTTACTTTCCCACAACAGAGAGCGTATTCTATAAGCACTGAAACATGGCGGGGGGGCGGGGGGGGCTTATAGGAGTGTGTGTGTGTGTGTGTGTGTGTGTGTGTGTGAGATCCCGGGTTTCCCAGTCGGGAGTTTAAGTAACGAAAGAGTAAAACAGTGCCGGCTCTGTGGAAGCCAGGAAGCAGCCTAATGTATTTATCCAAACACATCTCTGCTGAGGCCCCCACGGCTCCACCGCGTCCCCTCCCTTACTCCTCCAACACCGGCAGCTACGCCTGCATCTCTGCACCTTAAACACAGCGTCACTGGGTCGTTTCTTAGGGACGCGGGCGCTGGGAGATCTGGTTTTCTGTCGGTCTCTTGATTCACTTAATAAAACAGCCGTTTTCTTTTACAGCGTCAGTGACAATCTGCTCAGAGCCGTCTGCAGAGGACGGATCCAAAACGTAAGCGTTTTAAGGGCTTCCCTCTTCAACATCAGGCAGATTTGTTATTTGCCCTACAAAAAGCTTCTTTTTTTTTAATGCAGTTTTTCTGCTGCGTCTGTAATTGAACTTCATTTAAGGTCAAGCGGTCAAACATCCTCGGACTTTCCACACAATCCGTCTATCATCACAACTAAATCCTCAAACAAACAAAATTCTCAGCAAAAAACGAAATCTTGCGATTCAGAGCGGCGTAATCATTGTTTGCGTTTTCCTTTATTTTCCTTTTGTAAAGGGAAAAAAAGGAAATTGATGGGAGCCTCTTCAAACCGTCAAACTAGAACGTCTTCAGGTGAACGCCCTGCTGCCCGAAAGCATTTGGCCCAATTCCCCCGTCGCCTTTGTCCACCGCCGAAATGGACTGACGTAACAAACTGCCGGCTGACCTCGTCTCCACATTTGAGGCAGCTGAGGAATCCCACAACAACACAATAACATCAACTCTGCCAACAACAACAACGTGATTATTCAGACGGAACTGAGATGAATCGAAGTGTTTAAGGTTAACAAAAAACAACGATTAAAGAGCAGAGAGGGGCTGGTTTTCTCATCCGGCTCCCCAGCAGTCGCAGATTTGACACTGCTGCCCAAATCTTCCTCCTCCTCCTCCACCTGTCATCCAACTGGATGCAGATGCCACTTCACTTCCACCTCAACGTGTAACACGAGCACGCGAGCACCCGGACCAGGACGGATAAAAGGAAAGGAGGACTCCATTACTTCAGCTTAGAGATGGTCATGATTATGCAACCAGCGGTGAAGCTAAGCTAACATTTGTAGCGGTTATGGGTGGAAAGCGTATTTTCAAAGACTGCCGGCTGCCGATTCCGTAAAAAGTGTTTCCAAATTAAGTCAGAGGGGTTATACATTTGTGATAAAATAAACGGTTCTTGTCAAACGGTTTGTGGCGAGTACGGAAGCATCGGTGTCATTTCTAACAGCAGCGGTATTACGGCATTACAGGTGGCGCCGTTTCCTATTGGAGCAGGAAGCACGTGAGGAAATGACAACATTGGTTATTAAATGTATTCATTTTTTGTAATTGATCAACCGACATGTGCAGAGCATCGGGGCAAATTTGCAATGAGGAGATCTACCTTTGTAGCAATATTTGGTGAATGGAATTAAATTGTTTTACAAGATAATTAGCATAAGTAAGATAATCATTATTCTAGGTCTTATTCTCAGTCTCAAACACAGCCAAACACTTGAGAAAGAAATATTATTTCGAACATAAAGGAAGATGCAATATCCGAAGATTCACATTTATTCACAAGTAACAAAAAAATGTTTGTTTGATTGAGTTAGTTGAAGCAATGCTGCACATGCACCTGTGATCGTGTTGAAGTTGTCAACAGGAATAAAGCCCGTGCTGTATTTACCAAACAATGAAAAAATGCCTTGTGTTTTTACCCTCAACAATATAATATGTCAGGCTGTGTTCATATTTTTACACCGAGTACAAAAGGACTATAACAAGTGGTGCAATGGGAATAGCACAGGCTCTTTTTGGGTTAGTTCTAAAAATCCACACACACACACACACACACACACACACACACACACACACACACACACACACGGCCCTCTGTGTGCGTGGCGAAGGGCTGACAGGTCACAGCACTCTGACCCACTAATGAGAGGAAGAGCATAACAACATCAGACAGGAGCCATGCCAAGTAACAAGTCTTTTTGAATAATTCTAAATATACTTTTTTTATTTTTTATTTTTTTAAGCACACTAAAGCGTTGGTGCACAGCGATGACAACACAGCACCATCGATCACACTCTGAGGCCACAGCAACGAGCCGTCTGCAGGGCAGAACTCAGAAAGCTTTCTACTCAAATGTGAACACTGGGAAACGTTTCGCTTTCCAGCGTTGTGTTTTCTAAAATGAAACTTCTGTGTTCCTCACTGGAAACTTTGAGAACCAGTCATAACTCATTTCCTCAAAATGTCCCACGGCACAGTTTGGAACAGTTTTTGGGTCTCTTGTCTTTTCACAAAGTTTGTCCTGCGCGGCCACCGTCCGCTCTCTGAGCCTCAGCCAATTAAACGAGAGTACAAACAAAAGGCTCTGCAGCAAACAGCCGCCTGATTGGCATTCGGTTGCTGCTCGAAAGATCTTAATTTCTGCAGCCTGCATTATCAAAACATAAAAAGCATAAAAAATGTGAACTTAAACGGATAAATGGGAGCGATGAAAAGCCATGGATGATTGCATGTTTAAAAAGTTATACTTTGTCCATTCAAGACAGCCAGGATGAAACATGTGAATTCATTTATTTTGGCAGTTCAAATTATTCTAAATTGTAATTTTAGGTCCCATGGCAGGTGACCCAGATTGCATGCGTGTGTGTGTGTGTGTGTGTGCACACGTGTGTAACTTACATGTGGACGTGTGGAGGTTGGAAGCGGCTCTGGTTGATGTTGTAGTGTGTGAAGGCCTGCGTGGGGTTGGAGCTGTACTCGTCCACCGCGATGGTCACTTTGCCATGAGCCATCCTTCCGCCGTTTGGGACATGAGACGCCGTTCGTTTCACCGGGACCGCGCGGCGGTCATCCTTTCAGAGCCGCTCGAGAAGCCCAGCGAAAGTCTTCTAGCAGGAGCAGCAGCGACCCGCTGACCGACTCGACCACGACACACTGCACCGAGGAGGAGGACACACACAACACACAAAAATGCTTCAGACTGGACCACCAGGCAGACACACACACACACACACACTTCAGAATGCACCGGTAGAACAACTGCTCTTCCACATGAGAAGAAAAGTATTGAATCTCTGTGAATGAACACACATTTCTGCTGTTCAGAATATAAAACGCACAAGCAGAAACAGGTGGCTGGAGGAGCTGAAGTATCCCTGAGCACAAGTGGAGTACACATGAAGTAAGGAGGTGATCTTTTTCTAAATCACACTGTTGAATGTTCTCCATATTTTACGCTGCAAATAAGTCTTCTTAGCGTGGTTTCAGAGTTGTTGTTTTTTCTCACTTGCAGTGTCACAATTTGGTTTTTGAAAGAAAATTAAATCCTGAAACCATAAAATCTTAATTAGAAAAAAAATACACCAGGGCAATTCAAATATAATAAGCGGACATATTCTTCCTCCTCAAACAATATGGCATTTTGATAAGTGAAGAGAAATTCTTCTTAACTGACAGGCGACAATTAACAATCCGGAAGACACGCTTTTTTAATTGCTGCTCATTACCACGGTGGTTTTAATGCAAACATAATCAAATCTAAAATATGACTGCGGGCATGGCCTCCAAGGCAATAGCCCGTTGAAATCAAACCAGTCAAATGATCAAATATGCCTGCAGGAAAAACAAGAAAATTGTTCCGAATGTACGACACAGCGACAGAACTAGTTCAACAGCCCCCCCCCAAAAAAAGACTGAAAAGAACAAGGAACAATGAATCTACCATCATCTACCTTCAAAGGTTTGAGAAAAGGCACAATAAAGACAATAAAAAAAGACTTCTGGAGGGTAAAGCTGCTAAAATGCTGCACATCGAGTGTGCTGTTGTTGCTTTTTTCCCCCCTGCATCTTCAGAGCTCACTCACCGGGCTTCTCTTTGTGCGTCTCCTTGAGCTCAACCCCTGAGCTTCCCTCCTGCCTGACCTCCCTGACTGATAGTGAAGTGGCCACTGTGGGCTTTTTATACCAGACCTCCTGATGCAGCCACGAGCATTTCAAGAAGAAGGAGGAAAAAAAAAAATCTATGTGTCTTTATTTGGAGGGTAATCAGCAGCACCGCAGTTCATTTGATGGTTAAATCCTGTGATGCAGTGAAGAAGAAAAAAAGAGAAGAACTCCAGTTGTGGAATATCTCAAAGGAAACAACCTCCCAATTGAAGCTCGAAAAAATGTCCTATTTTTCACGGAAGCATTGATTTATGTTTTCTGGGTCAGCTGGGTGCTACTTCCTATGATACGAGCAATGAAAAAAAAAATAAGGAGGCTAAACTCAATTCGCGCACACACAGAAAGCTCAAACTCAAGTCTTTTCATTGAAAAAGGTTGTAATGCCACAATTCCAACTCCCATTTAATCCTCGCGGCTTCAAGTACAAGAAACAAGTTGGCGGATGTACGTGGGCCTTCAAAAAAAACCAACAAAAAAAAAAAACACCCGCACACTTTAATTAAAAGCTGCAGATGCCTCGGACACACTTCCCATCAGCAACCGCTTCCACCCGAAACAAACCTTAGAAGCAGAAGTAAAAGCTCCCGGTTTTTTTGTGTGCAAATGCAGGCCGGTTTGTGAGCAGCGTGCTCCGCGCTCTCCTCGCGCGTGCGTGCGCGCGCGCGCGTACAACTCGGTCCCCACCGTGCGGCTACAGTAGCAGCAACTAGCCGTGTAGCTTAGCCTGCTAAAAACCCGTCCCGGCACTAGATTTTCTTTTCTTTCTTTTTGTACATGTTTTTTTGTGCAGAACGTAGATTCGCAGTGATCTGCTTTTTCTATCGCGGCGGCGCACGCGAATTTCAGCCAACTTCACGGGTAGAAATCACCCTTGTGAGCACAGAGGGTAAAAGGCGAATAAATTTGACCTCTTGCTGATACCACGCATGCACATATAATAGAAAACACACACGCGCGCGCGTGCGTGCAATGCACCTCTTGTTCTGAACCCGCGTGCAGAAACGCACAGAAAAGGGGAAAAGGAGGTCCGTGCAATCCTGAACTCTGCTCCTGCATTAACAAAAAAAAACACCACCACGCCAAAGGTGGTCAGTGACACGGCACCGACGCCCCAACCTCCCGCTCGTGCGCGTAAATGACAAGCCACCTTTTAACCGACGGCTTTGTGTCAGGAATCCCCCCCCCCCCTCTCCCTCTATCTCACCCCCCCTTCCCTCCCTCCTTGGTTCTCAAAAGCAAAGCGGAAAGGTTGCTCTACCTTCGTCGTGTCGGGGAGGGCAGAAGGGGCGAGGGTGGGGGGGAGGGAGGTTGTTAATCTGGCCGGAGAAAGAGCGTCAGGTCGGGGGGTCGCCCTCTACGCGCCAACGGAGGGACGCGGGTCCATGCGGCGGCGGCGGCGGCGGCGGCGGGAGAGCGGGTAGGCTGGTACGCGGCCGTCCGGGGGTTGCGGCAGTCTGGGCGGGTAGGGCAGAACCTTCGACCCGGCGGGACCTCGGCTGGCTCCTGTGGAAAGAAACCAGACAAGAAAGCGGAGGGGGGGACAGAGAGAGAGAGAGAGAGGGAGAGAGAGGAGGGCGAGAGATACTGACAGACTACGGGGGTTGTGGGGGGGTGAGGGTGGGGGGGAGAAGAGCGAGAGAGGGCAGCCTCGGTGTGACGGAGGGGGAGCCGGAGTGCAGTGAGCCGGAGCTGCCACTGGGGTCAGAGAGCAGAGAGAACGGGAGCGAGCAAACACCCCCCCCCCCTCCCCCTCCCCTCCCGTGCGCGCACCCTCACCGGCGGGCTGCTCCGTGATGCATTCACATGCTGTCGGAAATGACATTGATGCCAAGTTAAACTCCATGTTTTTTATTACCTGATCCGTAAAGAAATTGTAAGTGATTTATGAGCCATTGACTAATGAAGTCACAATATACAAACCAGTGTCATATTAATTTTAAAAAGCGGAGCAGTCAAAACATTTTCAACTTTAAGCTTTCTCTCCGTACAACAATAATGTAAGTCTAACAAGCCCTTCAACATCCTCACCTCTGATTACTTGAATCATGCTGGAGACAGAAATATCGTTAAATTGACTGTCCTCAGTGTCTTTCCTCTTTGTGTGTCTTCTGCTGGCCCGAAAGCATAGTTTTACTATGGTAGCTTTACTTTGGGCTGTGAGGCTTCGTGACATGGCATAATAAGAAGGCTATTGATCTCCTCCCATGAAATCTTATGCAGTATTCAATATTGTGGTTGCTGCGCCTTGAACTCAGCATACGCCGCCTCGTATATAAACCAGCACACGTGCTGAAACTGATCGATTGTCGCGGTCGTGATGGACACTAATGGCGAGATCCGGATACAATAGATGCATTTTTAAATTGGACTTATTGAAATAATAGGAGCGGCTGAACGCCACAGACTTATTCTTAGTTTGAGCTCGGAATAACACAGGTTCCAAAAATAAAAATAAAACTGTATATTAAATCTGTGCAATTGTTGACCTGAAATATTTCTTTCTAAGATCACAGTCATGTGGGGAAACATTGCCAGAGTGTGGAAGGTGTCTGATTCTATGATTAGAAGACATCAAGGCCCCTTTGGGTTCACAAGTAAACAATACTAATGAGTACCTGTGGGAGTCCTTCACGCAACCTGAAATGGGGCAGCCGAACTGGGGGAAAGCTACAAACTTGGGTGTAAAAAAAAAATGCATCCCGGTAATAAAGGGTTAACTCCTTGATTTTCAAATTGCTAAATTATACATGAATTCTATGAATACATTTGTCTCGATTTTGGCTTACCTGTGCTGAAATGTAGCAAACCAAACCTCGAGAACAGCAGAGATTCGTACTCAGGTTTCCTGTCTTCAAAGTGCAAAGGATCTTATTATGAGCTTAAAGGGTTACACTCGTTTTCTGACCGTTCGACCTCTTTGACCTTTATTCTTGTGGCAACTTCTCTGTACTATCGATGCTGCATTTTACAAACTTTACAGCCTCACTTTCATCATCGGTGACAGAAGCCTGTTGGTGAAATACTGAAATATCTCGATAGAGTCTTGATCTTGTGAAATGGGCTTTGATGGATTCCTTTCTCGCCAGCACCACCAGGACATTGACTCTTTGGGTTTTAGTTACATTATCTTTTGGATGAACGGCTTCGGAAGTTAAAAGAAAAGTTGGTAGTTGAGATATCTCAAAATCTACTCGATGGACTTGCATATATTTTGATACAAATATTTGTGTTTCTAGAAGGCTAAATCACAATTTCCTTTTTGATTCCCTGACTTGTGTGAGATTCACATTATCTCGCCATGCAGTCGTCAGAGCGCTGTAGACTCATTCTCTACGAGATGACACCAATTCAAAACACTGCTTCTTGGATGGTTTGTGTCACAATGATCAGTTCAAGCATTCATACAAATATTCATGCCCTTGTTGTTTGTAAATGGCAGAGCCATCATGCTACGGACGGATGGATGGATGGATGAATGGACGGATGAATGGACGGATGGAGCCCATCTGGAGTGCCGCTCTTATAACACATTATCTTCCACTATCTCTGTTAAGGAAGAAGTCAGGTTACTGCTTTTAAGAAGCATTTTATTGCCAAAATAAGTTAAATTGGTCTGCACAAGGATTTCGGGTGAGCAAAGCGACTGGAAAAATCGATTAAACGGTGGATTAAACCAACTACGACAAACTTTGAATAATGGATGATGATTTAAATGCTTTGTCAGACCCTTTTGAATGACAACCATGGCATCAGTGTGATAATGGACTCCAGTGCCCAGATATATAGGAAAAATAACTCTTCTTTTCATTCTTGTTTGTTATTTTATTCTTACGTTATAAATGATTATCTCTCATCTGTAAATTGAAAAAACATGAGTATTTATTCATTAGTTCAATTAGTTATTTGACTTCAGTATGACGTGCAACATTTTCTGCAGAATATTAATATAAAGTATAAAGTATAAGAGCATTGTCTAGAAGACTCTGTACCACAACGTCACATTCTCAACATCTAGTGTGATTAAACCGTTTTTTCCCAGATATTATTATTGTTAACATCAACAATTTAGAAATGACAATTGTATTCCAATAAATCATTTCTCTCATTTTATTTCTGCTGAATGAAGATGAATGATAATATTGAATTCCTGCCCATCACTGAGTTCAGACGCCATTCATATCAGTCGGGGAAGTGGGGGGTCAAGAAGAATTAACTTGCCAGTGCCAAGGCTATACCTTTTTAATATACTGATGGGATTTCTGATGAGAAAAGGCTGCGTGGGAAGGTCCATAATGGACTCATCCGAGCGTCTCTGTCACATTTACGTGTCTGCCAGTCGAGGCAGAGACGATTTTTTTCTAATTTTACTGACATGCTTCAATTTCCCCGGCCCATCAGCACGCTCCCTCCCTCCCTCACCGGCACAACAGCACTGCGAGTCATTTCCATTTGACTTTTCTCTTATCTGCACACACACACACACAAAGCATTTTCCATATACTAGCCGGCGGGTGTCGATGTGAAAGCAGGGTTTGAATTTTATGTGGAGAGGCCACATTTAAACATTTGACCAGCGTTTGTTCTGCTGGCTGCATATAGAGAACTAATGATAGATAGGAGACCAAATGTCACGGAAGAAATGGCTTTTGCCATGAATGTTTTATTCAGCCACGCGCCGCGGTGATCACATTTATACAATAGAAAATGTAAATGTTATGCAGAGCGTTGGGGGAAAAAAAACGCCACTATATTTTATGACCTTCTATAAAAGAGGGTAAAAAGGACTTTCCATCCAAATAAGGCAGAAATGAAACACATATTTAATGGGAGTGGGAAATGGGGAGTGTGGCCTTTTTCAGGAGACAGAGGGTGATATTCACTTAACCCGCTGGCTGAGGAGGTTCAACGGCTCTAACCTGCACAGATTTATGCCTGTCCGTGGCGGTGCCCGGCTCCCCTGCTCGCCACGCAGATAAATAAAAGTGAGGCCTGTCTCTCCGTCTTTCCCTTCCACCCACAGACGGGAGTTTTCTTCTGTTTTTTTTAAAATGTTAATGTCATTCAGATTTATGGGAGGCAGATAGATGCTTGCTGAGGGAATGACGGGCTGTACAAAGTGTATTTATATATTTATTTATGTCATTGAAATGCACACAGACAAAAGTGTTTGCCCCTGAGACTCGGCAGCACTCTGAGGACCGAACTGCCTTCGGCACCACGCGCGCGTGTATACAAATGAAAGGAAAACTGAAAAACAATCCAAGACAATTCAAGGGTTTCCCCGTCCCTTTTTTTTTACTTGTTAAGCCTGGTTGTTATGGACTCGGAAAGTAAAGCAATATACCAGTTAATTTTATTAGCACACAGAGTGCTTTTGCCCCGATGGAGCTCGGAGAGAAGAGCGAGAGTAGGAGAGGAGAGAGAGCGCTGCATGGCATGAAAGCCAAGTGTATTAATTCTCCTCCCGTCCTCCTGCTGTGTTGTGATGGAGTAATATGCAGGCTCACTTTCTACGCCAAAGGGTAGGCGAAGGCTCACAGGAGAAGACTCTCTGAGTCAGTCTCTATCGGCCCCGCTTGCTCTTCGGCGCTTTCTCTGCAGCCCTTTAAACATCGTCAATAGGAAACTGTGAGAGAAATAATCATTTAATGTTTGCCTTTATCCACATTCACCCGCAGCCATTCAACAATACTTCACATTTCCTCTTCTGCCTCCCTCTCCCTCTCTGTGCATGTGCGTGAAGCGCTCGATACGGTATAAATTAGGAGTGTCCACGCGGAGCGACCGTGTATTAAATCACGTTAATTGATTAGCTGAAGTTCAAGAGAGGACAACACCGAATTGCACTCAGTCCTCTGCTGAAGTGGTTCCTGCTCGTTGCAGGTGACGACCTGAACACCTACACGAGCGATCAATCCGCCGAACGCAGTGGTAACTTCCTCCGTCCACGGAAGTGACTGCATGTGCTACATGTGCTGCACCCCATCGCATTGGACGCACATGGCGTTATGTTCACTACTTGAAACATTCAGTATTTGTGTTAAAGTTGCACGCACCTATAAATCAACACTAACAGATG